ATATATATATATATATGCGTATATATATGTTCATATATAGGTATATGTAAATGAAAATATATATATATGTAAATATGCAAATATACTTGTATATATGCATATATATATGTATGACTGTGTGCGTGTGTGTGTCTATGTATATCTATCTATCCAACTATATATATATATATATATATATATATATATATATATATATACATATATATATGTATATATAATGTATAAATATATATATACATATATATTATATATATACATATATATATATTATATATATATATATATATATATATATATATATATATATATATATATATACTTATACACATATATATACATGTATGTGTGCGTGTGCGTCCCTCTGTTTTTGCACACGCGTGCGGGTATGTGTCTGCTGAGATTTTCCCATAAACACTCATGGCTGCAGAGGAACACAGGTGATAAATGAGGAAAGAAATGCAGCGGTAAGCGTGAGGAGTGACTGGGACTCATCATTTGTCTTCACTTCCTCCTACCATTTTCTAACTAATACGCCCGTTCTCTTTCCTCCGGGGATTTAGTGATGACAGGCTGGAAAATATATCGTGGAAAAAAAGAATTAAAGAAACGCAACATTTTTGCTCTGGAGGTGAAGTCGTTTCTTTATACATTCACTTTTTTTTTTTTTAGTCAAAGACCCCCTTTGGTCACGTCCTAAAGATAGACCAATTTTCCATCAGCGATATAAATGATTCTAAAAACCGCGGGTCCTTCGGGTCCCCGGCTGAAACGGCTTTCAGAAGCTGCTACGACTCAGCGATTGTTGCTTAATGACCACTCTGTAGAAACAACAATTGGCGGTTTGGGTGGAGGGTGTGAGGACGGAGGAGGCCGTAAGGTTGTATTTCTCACGCAATACGAAGGCAGAAACGCCCTTGTCGCATGGCTCCTTCCGTGTCGGTTTTGCAGGCTTGGTCAGACATAAATCAATGAAAGAACCTTTGCTATTGCGGGGGACTTGCTAACTAGGCTTTCCAAAGGTCTAACTAGCGCGTCCGCTTCAGACACATCGCCAGTTAACATCGAGCGAGACAAACCGCAAAATGGCCTCTCTATCATGAGATACGACGGAACTTATAGTTTTAAGCGTTTTATTTTAAACGTTTTATGCTTGGCTCGAAGATAATGGCTGCTTAGTAGGAAAAGGCGCATTTCGGGAGGATTAAATGAGGCTTCCTTTCCATCGCTGCATTAAACTTCACCGCAAACTTCCGAGAGGAATGGCTGAACAGGAACGACAACTGATCAACGATGGTAACCAATCAGTTGCAACCACTCACGGGCTTAGACGCCCATCTATGGCCCGTATATATATATATATCTCACACTGCGCGTATGTATATATATTAATATATATACGCACATATATACACATATGCATACACACACGCACACACATACATATACATATACATATATGTGTGTGTGTATGCATGTATGTATATATATGTATATATATATATATATATATATATATATATATATATATATATATATATGTATGTATGTATGTATATATATATATATGTATATATATGTATATATATACATACATATACATACATATATGTGTGTGTGTGTATGTGTGTGTACGTGTTGGTGTGTACATTTGTGTGTGCACGTGTCTATGTATGTGAATGGGTCTGAGGTCTGACAGGGCACAAGCCTCACCCTTCTGCTATCTATCGGACCACCCGCGCGCCTTTGGCAAAAAAAAAAATCTTCCAGGTTTTGTAAAGCCCAAGACAGGTTGCTCCAGATCCCCCTTACAAACATACAGAAGATCTCTCCCTCGGCCCTTCTACAAAAAAAAAAAAAAAAAAAAAATTCACAACCGCCTCGTTAGTACAACTGATATTTTCCGCAATACCATTAGCATAATAGCAAATGCCCTTCGCCATTAATAATAATTACGCCTTGGGTTGCACTTCCTTTTTCGCTCTCTATCTTGATTCTCCTCCCGGCCATTTCTTCGCAGCTTCCATTTCGCAGCCTCTAAATACGATTTCAGACGTCGCAGCAGAGGCCTTATCTCGGGCTCCCATCTGCACACCGCCCTTTCTCCTCTCGTCTTACGGCTGATTTTCACAGACTGTTCCGTCATCTTTAGCGTCATGGGTATGAGTGTGAGTGTGTGTCCTGCTGGCTAGTCTTTCCCGCCGTTTGCTAGATTGATGAGACTGATATGTGACAGTTATTTTATTTATTTTTTATTTTTCTTTTTTATTGTCATTTTTTTCGTCGTTCACACTCATTATCAAACTTTCATTAATTGGCTTTCTTACTTGGACCCTTCTTTATATTTGTCCCCTTGCCTTCTCCTCCATTTTTCCATCCCTACCCCTTTCCTCTCTCTAGCCATCGCTTCCCTACTATCCTCTCCTCCCTCCCTCACTGGCCACCATCCATCCTCCTTATCTTTCCTCTCTTCCATCATTCCTCACCACCACCACCCTTCCCCTAACCTTCGTATTTATTCCCTACCCCTATCCTTCCCCTCCTCCTTCCGTTCTCTCCCCCCATCTCTCACCCCCCCCCCCCCAGTTCATCACCCTTCGCCTCTGCTCCCGCTTCCTTGTCACCAAAAGCTCCCTCGCCTCCTGTCGCGCGTAAAGAACTCTTAACTAACGGTTCCGCTGCTATCTCATTATCTCCCGAGTCAACACCCAGCGATCTGAGGCCGAGGAGGAGGCGCTCGAGTCCATCGGCGACCTTCAATGAAAAGGGATATGGAGAGGCTGTTGTGTCTCGGGTTATTGGGTAGGGGATGAGGGACGTCTTTCTCCATTCTTCGTCGTGGAGTTTCGTGCGGATTAAATGATGGCCGAGGAACGTGAAAAGGAATATCGATAAGCTTACGATTGTACAGGTGAATGGGCACCGAATGACTTGTCTCATCCTCGACGTCAACGCTATTTGGAGCGCAGAAAAGACTTTTGCTTATGGGATATCTAAATTATAAAAGAATGAAGATGAAAATCTAAAAGTCAGCTATTATCTTTTCATACACGTTCCGGATAAAAGTTGAAATAACGTGAACTTTCACTTTTTAATCGACTGTCATCTTTACCATCTTCCAATACGCCAAGTCATTATCGCCCTTTGTGTCAACAGCTTCCTTGTCTTATGCCCACAGATACTCTTTTATTTCAGTCCTTTAATTCACCTTCATTGAATGTTTATGTAATTGCAGCAAATTGCTACAGAGAAAGAGAGAGAGAGAGAGAGAGAGAGAGAGAGAGAGAGAGAGAGAGAGAAAGAAAGAAAGAAAGAAAGAAAGAAAGAAAGAAAGAAAGAAAGAGAGAGAGAGAGAGAGAAGAAAGAAAGAAAGAAAGAAAGAAGAGAGAGAGAGAGAGAGAGAGAGAGAGAGAGAGAGAGAGAGAGAGAGAGAGAGAGAGAGGAATGTCATATCTTAATGACGTGACTTCAAGTAACAGCAGAGATCTTTCAGTAAGCTTATCATGTGTATGTATATATATCTTTTTTTTTCGTCTAAGGATAAATGTCCAATTTTAAGTCACTATAATTACGACCTATGGACATAGTAGGAAGCCAAACTACCTTTAAAAAAAAAATCAAAACACCCGAATATGCAAAACCAACAAGCAACGCAACGACTATGATGACACCTCGCTAAGTATGTCAACAGCCATGCCGAGTGACGCAATCGAGGAACGGAAAAGATTTCGTAGTAAAAAAGAAATGATAATAAATAAACGAAAAAAAAAAAAAAAATAAGCGCATCCTCTGAGCTAACGGCTTGGTCACCGGCAGCGCCTCCTCCCGCATCCCCCCCCCCCCCCCGCCTCGTGGCGTCAGGGCAGATCGAGAGATTAACACGCACATGAAGGCGTTTTTTTTCGTCTGAGAAGGAGAGGTGTAGGTAAAGAGGCGGGGGGGGGGGGGAAGGGTGGCAATGAGTTCTTCCTTGTCTCTCTTTCCGAAGGAGAGAACAAGGGTAACCAAAAGATGATATGTACGTATATATATGTATATATGAACATGCATATATACATACATACATATATAGATACATATACATACATACACACACACACACATATATATATGTGTGTGTGTGTGTGTGTGTGTGTGTGTGTGTGTGTATGTGTGTGTGTGTGTGTGTGTGTGTGTGTGTGTGTGTGTGTGTGTGTGTGTGTGTGTGTGTGTGTGAGTGTGTGTGTGTGTGTGTGTGTGTGTTTGTGTGTGTGTGTATGTGTATATATATATATATATATATATATATATATATATAGGTGTGTATGTGTGTGTGTGCGTGTGTGTGTGTGTGTGTGTGTGTGTGTGTGTGTGTGTGTGTGTGTGTGTGTGTGTGTGTGTGTGTGTGTGTGTGTGTGTGTGTGTGGGTGTGTGGGTGTGTGGGTGTGTGAGTGTGTGGGTGTGTGGGTGTGTGGGTATGTGGGTGTGTGTATGCCTACATGCGTACATATCTCATATATGTGTTTGTGTATATATGCATATATATATGCGTATATATATATATATATATATATATATATATATATATATATATATATATATATATATATATACACACACAATTTCCTTTCTCTGAAGTATCGTTCCCTAAAGAAACATTAGTTTTATGGACCTGAACGAAACCTCTGAATTAGGGAAAATAATTTCTTTGTTTTTAGTGCCGCATAATTATCGCAACTTTTAGTCACCAGAGCACTTCAGTGTGATAAGACCAGTTATTATATATATATATATATATATATATATATATATATATATATATATATATATATATATATATACAAACGCGAATATCACGCGCTAGGAGAGAGCAAAAATATTGTAAGTGATGATAGAAATTTAATCGACGAAAAGTATTTGAAAATTAAGTAGGCGCAATTAAAACGCAGGAGCAGATAAATACCTGAATATACATAAAACTTGCTAAAGAAGGATCAGACTGAGCAGGCTAGTAAAAACCTCACCTCATGCCCTGGGCGAGCGCGGCCGTCGAAAAAGCCGAGTTCCCGGCGTCCTCTCCCGGGGGCGGGGGCTCGTAGTGGTCTCTGCGCCGCGCCACCTGCAGGAGGTCGTCCGAGCCCGTTAGAGACCAGGGCTGCAGATTCGTCACGAGATCTGGGTTACACTTGCGGTCGGCAGCGCTGGTGGGCGCGACGGCGACCTGCGGCGGCCTGCGGTGCTTGTTGCCGGCCGGCTGCGCCTCCCCCATGGACCAGCGCCGCCGCGTCCTACTCCCGGGGCGGCCGGGGTGCCCCTCCGCGCCCTCGAACGTCGTCTTCTCCACGCTGCTGTTGCATCGCTGAGGTCGTCGCGTCGGAGTTAAAGACGGCCTGTCATTCCACTTCCTGGCGGCGATGCAGTGTCGCGGTCCGATCTCCAGCACGCTCTTGTGCTCCAGCTCCTCCGCCAACTCCTCGAGGTCAGACCGATGGAAAGAATCGAGGTTCTTCCAGCGGTTCTCGCGCTTCCCGCCGCGCCCCGCCGACCCCTGGGCGGGCGGCGCGACTCCCGCTGGCGACGTGCAAACGATCTTGTCGTTGTACAAGTGGAGGTTCTCGCCGAAGTAGATTCTCGTGATGTGCTTCACGCTGGGAGGAGTGGCGGCCGCCGAGGAGTCGCTGTCCTGCTGCGCAACAGTGGACTCCCCAGAGTCCGAGTAACCCGAGTCCTGTGAGCGTTGGGAAGGTGACCCTCGGAGAGAGCCTCCGAAAGGACCTTCCAAGGAGAACTCGCCCTCGACAGCGTCCTCGCCGGAGCTGAACGTCTCCTCGGCCCTCTCCTGGATGGCGGAATCCTTCTGCGTCCTGGAGCGCTTCCAGAAGTCCCTGGGCAAGCTGTGCGCCGGCCAACAGCCGTCCTCGGAGGCGTAGTACACTCGCGAGAAACTGCGGCGAAAGTGTTGTGTTGGCGACGAGTCGGGGCTGCGGCACGCCATGGGGACCACGCTCAGGCTGCTTCCGCCGCTGCAGCACTGTGGGGCGAAAACACAAAGGACGTTAGGGCTAATGTTCGATTGAGAGAGAGAGAGAGAGAGAGAGAGAGAGAGAGAGAGAGAGAGAGAGAGAGAGAGAGAGAGAGAGAGAGAGAGAGAGAGAGAGAGAGAGATGAAGAGAGAGAAAGAGAAAAAAAGAGAAAGAGAAAGAAAGGAAAATGAGAATGAGAAAGAGAGAGAGAGACATAGAGAAAGAGAAAAAAAGAAAAAAAGAAAGAAAGAGAGAGAGAGAGACAGACAGACATAGAGAAAGAGGAAAAAGAGAAAGAGAAAGAAAAAGAGATATAAGCAACACGTAAAATACACTTATACAAAGAATATTCATAACCAGCAGCACCCACACCCCCCCCCCCTCCACTCCCTAACACACACACATAGACAGAGAGTTGCACTGATAGGAGATCACGCGGTTGTACACAATGATTTTGCAACCCTCTTCTGCCCTCCTCCTCCCCCCCTCCCCCCAGTGGGTCAAGACTGCGGCTGAGATTCATTCATTATGTGGATGTAAATGAAGTCTGGTTAAAGGGAGGGTCGGTTATCTGCCAACGCCGGTCAGAGATAAACAGATAAACAGGTGCTTCCCTTGTACCTAATTTGGTACAAGTTATTAGTAAGGAGGAAGAGACGTGGAGGGCGACGAGGCTGAAGAATCCATGGCAAGGAGGATGCAGCCATCGACGGATGAAGAAGGAAGGGAAACTTGGGCGATGAACGAGAGACGCGGATAATGTAAGACAAGGAGAGAAATGAAGATTAAGAGAGAGAGAGAGAGAGAGAGAGAGAGAGAGAGAGAAAGGGGGGGGGGTTAAAGAAAGCGAATCAAAGAGAAAGAGAGAAAAAAATGACTAAGCGAGGCAAAAACACAGAAACACATAAAACAGACAGCGACAAAAAATAACCACCAGATAGACTAGCACTAAAACCACAACACATACGAAAGAAATGAAGAATCTAACCAAACCAAACACACACAAAAAAAGAAGGCAATGAAACAACAAAGAAGACCCAATCAAGCAACTCTCTCTCCACGTGCTGACATCCCGAAGCAGCTCGACGTCAGCGATCGCAAAAGCCATAATGAATCTGTCACTGACGATCACTCCTCACCCGGCTTGTAAGTCTGGTCGTCGATGTGACTGTCATGAGTAATGGTTGTGTGTGTTGTTGCTGAGAGAGAGAGAGAGAGAGAGAGAGAGAGAGAGAGAGAGAGAGAGAGAGAGAGAGAGAGAGAGAGAGAGAGAGAGAGAGAGAGAGAGAGAGAGAGCGAGAGAGAGAAAGAGAGAGAGAGAGAGAGAGAGAGAGAGAGAGAGAGAGAGAGAGAGAGAGAGAGAGAGAGAGAGAGAGAGAGAGAGAGAGAGAGAGAGAGAGAGGGTATGTTATATCTTAATGACGTGACTTCCTTGTACGAGACTGTAAAGCATGTCATTGTTAGGATGATGGCGATGGTCAATGATGATGATGATGATGATGATGATGATGAAGAAGATGATGATAATGATGATAATAATGATAATGATAATGATGATAATGATAATGATGATAATGATGATAATGATAATGATGATAGTGATGATAATAATGATGATAATGATATTGACGATGATACTGATCATAGTCATGGTGATGATAATCGTCATGATGAATGTAAGAATTATATCGATGATGAATACAACAACAACAGCAAAAACAATAGCAACAACGATAATAGATAAGAAAAAAAAAACCTGCAACATACACTCCAACGTGAGCGTCCATGCAGATAGGGCAACGAAGCAAGTACCATAAAGGTCGAACCACCGATTGCAAACTATGTATCCTCTTTCAAAACAACGCAAGTCATTTCATAGGCATTCATTCAGTCTACTTAATATTCATTACACCCTTTATCTGATCGTCTGCGAAAATCACTTCCAATCTTGCAATTCGGTCATAAAAGCATGCATCAGTGAGACAGAGAGCGAATGTTACTCCTTCTGCAACTTTTCATTATGATCATCAAATTCTTCGTATGTCTTTTCGTGTCAGTTTGCCTTCTCTCTCTCTCTCTCTCTCTCTCTCTCTCTCTCTCTCTCTCGCAATCCTTCAATACCCCCCCCCCCCTCTCTCTCTCTCTCTCTCTCTCTCTCTCTCTCTCTCTCTCTCTCTCTCTCTCTCTCTCTAAATCCCCCCCTCTCTCTCTCTCTTTCTCTTTTCATTATGATCATCAAATTCTTCGTATGTCTTTTCGTTTCAGTTTGCCCTTCTCTCTCTCTCTCTCTCTCTCTCTCTCTCTCTCTCTCTCTCTCTCTCTCTCTCTCTCTCTCTCTCTCTCTCTCTCTCTCTCTCTCTCTCTCTCTCTCTCTCCCTCTCTGCCTTTCTCCTTCTGTTTGTCTGCTTGGCCGTCTATCTGTGCAATTGCCCGTGCATTGGGGGCATTCAACTCTCAGCCCGTTCACTTTGCTATTTATGGATCTGTCTGCTTATCTGCATATCTATC